AAAAAAAAAAAAAAAAAGAAAAAGAAAAAAAAAAGAAAAAACCAGGACGTATTTTCAACTCTAACATTCTCGACTACTGCTTGTAAATCAGTACCGGACTGGTCGAACTTGAATTCGACGAAAGTCGCGCGAAGAATAGAATGGTTCAATTATGTTACCAATGACCTTAACTCGAAAGTGGACGTCACAGGACGCGAAAGTCAGTGACATCGACGGTGCAAGAACAAGCACCTTGATACTACGCATGCACGATATCAAGGACATCTTCTAGCTATTCTCGAAACGTCTTTCTCAGCGACACGACGACAGTAGCTTGGTGTAGTTTTGTAGGATGTCGTCTGGGAATGGGTGCGTGCCCCGGGCCCCGCACAAAAGAATGCCCGGGCAGGTATACGGTTTTCAGGTAAGCACAAGCCAGGTAAGCCAGGTGGTAACCTCTTTTTTCACTCTGTCTGCCCTCTCCTCCGCCGTCATTCTCCGAATCCCGACCTCCGTCCTTTTCTCATCATCGCTCAACAGCTGTTTCCCTGAAGGGTCGTACTCCCTTATTCCCAATTGGACGAAAGGAGAAGGAGGGAAATGTATAGGACGTATAGGCACATGTCCCACTTTAAATCGTTATAATTCGTCGAACACGTTTGTAGATCCTGTCTAATCGGTCTTACATGCTCTCCTCTTTGGTATCGCGCGTGTGCGTGTGTTCCACCGGCGGAGGAAGTCTGATCGAGGATGTGACCCGAATATTCAGCGCACATTGTCAAGGATACGCTCGTTTCATCCGACTTTTCAGCGTGAACCGATCGAAGTCGACACCGAAGCCAGCCTATTATCCGTGTAAAATATCCTCCGAGGAATTGTTAATTAGGATTTATGAAAAATGATTTAATCGGAATTTATAGCGTTTATAGGGCTTGTAAATATCCTCCCGGTAGCATTCGGTTTTTGTAACTGGATATTTTGCATCGATGGTTCTTATCGCTTATCTGAGAATATTATCGGTTTGCCGCGGCAATTTCTGCGGACACTTCGTTCCACTGTCTAGATTACATTCGGATTTATAAGCAAACGTTTATGCTCTTATACGTGTATTTCTATTTTATTTAAACAATATCGTGGAAATTACGTTGCATTCGTATCGCACAATAATTTTTATATTGTATCGAGAGAATTTTATTTTTCTCGTAATATCCTTTAAATAATACGTATATATATATATATATATATATAATGTTCTTTTCATATTTATTATTTTTTTTCTTTCCAAGTAAATGGAATTACATTTACATTATAATGTAACGCAACAAATTTCCGATTTTAATTTTCCTTTTAATCAGTAAATTGATATAAATAATTGTCGTCAAATTTCAATGTTTATCATCGATAATATAGGAAAAAAGCACGATAAAAATAATACGAGTATCAAAATAATTGATTGACAGTTGATTGCGCGATATATCAACGATCAGCCAATTTTCTAATTCTTTTACACTTCGCACACAATGCTAGCAATCCGACGAATGCATCCGTAGAAACTTGTTTGCCCCATTTTATCAGCCCCATTAAGCAATTATTAAGCCGGCCACGATACACCTTAATGCGAATTAATTGCATATTTCATACATAATCGTTAAAAATCGTATGGAATCGGTTTCGCTTTCGTACTCCGTAATTCGCAGGTGTATATACGTACAATAAACCAGATAACAAGGCGAGAACAATCGAACGCATTAAGCTGTATTCATTTCACGTATCCCGTGGCCGGTACCCGATAAAACTTAATCCCTGCTTAAACGCCGTTGCGGTTGATAGAATATGCGCGTTCGCGGTTAAACTCGTCAGTGGAGTTGTAACACGAAACGAAAGGATCCGCGTTTTGTTTCTCATTTGTTTGGAATCTCCCAGATGAAATTCCACGGTGGAAATTATCCGTGGAAGAGACTCCAGGTGTCTCCTCCAAGCCTGATCGAATTCCACGAGATTAGATTTTGTTGTTTTCGCGACGTGACGGGCTTAAACACACGCGACAGCCACTGATTAGAGAATCGAATCTCGTTAAACAGCGGTGACCGCGCGTTGGATCGTCTTGATTTTGATTCGTTTGGACTTTATCCTTGTTTATGAGAAATAAGGATCGATATTTCGTCTGGATATAATAATTTGCAATTTGTAATTTAATATATAATTTGTAAGTGAAAAGAGGAAATTCGTAGAATTTTTTTTTTTTTTGTACGAATAAGAGATACATAAAATGATAGAAATTGTTTGAAATGCGATTATCGAATGAATAATGAAACTTTTATGACGAACTCTTTGAGGGGAGAAAATATTTTATAAAAGATAGATGACGCTATGTAAAAGCTTTTAATGAATTTATAGGAAATTAGATTTTTAAAGGAACAAAACGGCTTGAAATATGACGGAAAAGCTGCATTATAAATTGTAATGGTTTTTATTTTTGATTAAATAAATTCGTTTTTAGTAAGGCCACACGACTTTACACATTATGCCCTTTAAAAG